ACTGGGCTTCTCAGAAAAATGTGCAAGTGGGACTATAGTTTTACCTCTATGAAGCTTCTTTTACTGGGAAAGCCAAGGACTTGGTAATACTCTGATCCCAGTCTAGTTGTAAAAATCCAGTGATACTTTCACAAAAGTGCCTACAGACATTTTTTTCAAAAGCATACAAAAGGGGAACTGTCATTGTCTGTGGTGCTGTCAACAAGCTGAGGTGGTGTGCTATGCTACTGGGTGTTTTGAAGACAAATGGCTGTCCGTGTCTAGTAGGGACACTTACAGGGAGGCGTTAATGTTTAAAAGAAGCAAACAAAATTACTGCACATGAACACTTCCAATATTAAATTCAAAGTAAACCCAGATTGGGCTAAGCGTAGTATGCTTAGACAATAGCACTGCTAGTCTCATGTAAGTGAGGGTTTGCTCTCAAAAAAGTAAGTTTGAGGCCTAATTTTAAAACATAAAAGTAAACTAAGGTTAAAACCGGCTTTAAGTTTTCTTTTGCGGAAATTAATTCTGTGGAGCCAGTGAGAATTTCGGTAAGTTTTTACAAGCAGGCATAGGCATGAATGTACAGTATAGCTTGCATAAAAATGTTACACAGGAATTGTGTTTGCCATTGATCTCTTGAACAGCAAGAGCAGATATTCAAATATAAATTGCTAAATAAATTCATGAGATTCAGTGTAGTTTAATGGACAGAGTGACAGACTAGGACTCGGGAGGCCCTGGTTTGATTCCCCACTCAGGCATAGAAACTCATGGGGGTGTGGAATTGATAAGACCACTTCTTAAATATTTCATCTACCTTGAAAGCCCTATTAAGGTTGCTGGAAGTTGACTCCAACTTGAAGATGTAACAACAACAAATAAATTCATATTGAGAAGCCTAGGTACTATAATATTCTTACAATGTCTACCTAGGCACACTACAATATTCTTACATTATCTGTTGTGAACCCTAGATATAATAATTTTATGTCTACCCATCTTCATGTTTTATATTTGTTACAGCAAACATTACTGTAGGTACAGCACATTTAATGATTTGTGCTACACTTGAAGGGTCATCTTGTGTAAACTGATTTGAATTGGTTTAAGTTTGGAATCAACCCAATGTACACATAAAATGTGAAGCAGCTGTTAAAATAGGACTGTGTGAACAAAGACTTAAAGTGTAAGTGCTTGAACTTCAAATACAAGGAACAACTGATATACCTGTTTCACATTAAGCTGAACAGGACTTTGTTAAATAAAGCCAAGATGACTACTAAAGATATACTGATCTGGTTTTCTAGTTGACAACTAAACATTCGAAAGTATTGTACATGAAAGATCAAAACACTTGTTGCTTTTCCATAGAAATACGATGCACTTGTTAAATACTGCTAGAGGGGTTTTGTATCCAATACTGTATCAAAATTTACTGAACTTTAAGGCAAATGGACTATCTGGTGGGTGGGTGAATCATATTTGCACTTCTTCCACAAGTCTTAGTAAAAAACTAGTTCAATATTCCATGTCTATACAATCATAACTCCTGCACTAACAGCATGTTGTTTACATGCTTTATATATTCATATGCTTCAATAAAGTTCTTTTGATCTGATTTTCTTAATGCTTGTAAATCTATTTCTGGCATTTATTCTTCTCATGATGACAGTGGGGGCAGGATAAAGTAAAGAAGGCACCATTTCAGTATTGTTAAGGACACAGAAAATTTGAGTTTCCCAAAATACTTATCTCTGCATATTGTACTTGTGCCATCAACCCATATCCACTCGTATCTTCTTGTGAGGCACACCCGACCCCCCTGCATGTGTACATCAGCTCCAAGGACAGGTCATGTTACAGCAAAGTAGGTTGAGGATGAATATGGATGAGTTATGAACTTCCTTTTTTAAAAAAACAAAAAGGATTTTTTTGGTGGCAATGTGAAAATTAAAGGATTCCCACATAACTGCCAGTCTTCCCCACATCATCACCCAATACTTTTATTTCTTGCCTAACACCAAGTGCTGTTTAGCTGTAGTTATCTTTCTTTTTCCAAAAATGTAAATTCTGAAACTGGAATAAGTGAATTTGTTCTTTATCACTCTGGTGCATGCAATCAATATACTTACCAAATATGTCTTGACGCAAATTTACTTGAAGTTTGCTTCATGGTAATCTGTAGATAACTTTTTATCAATTCAAAGAACATCCAAAGTATTAGGAAAACTACATTTATTCAAAAGAAATCTTGAACAGTTTAGAATGCAAAGATTGTTCCATAAAAAGTCTGTCTTCACACAAAACCTAAAGACAAAGTATACCAAATTGTGTATTGCAATTAGTAACAACTGAATGCTAATATAAAATCTGCTTTCATCTGTCAGAATAAGACATAAACCAGGCACATTGGTTAATCAGTACCTAGGTGTAGTACTCTACTAGGAGTCACACCACCGGCAGCACTGCTTATATTAATCTCAGCCAGGAGGTTTATCTCCCCCTTACCACATACCTACATGCAAAAAGTCTTAACATTGCAACATTTGGGGTACAGCAAAGAGAATCAGCATTACTTAATACTTCAGCCATTTGTCTTCACAGCAAAATATAAACTTTCATAATCACTAAGTATGTAACTGGCTATTACAGCCGAAACTGCTTTCAAAAGAATGAAGTGTGATATCCTGTAAAAATAGTGACCTTTCCCCATTCATCTACTGTGTGCTGGTGTAGAATGACAGAGCTAGCCACAAGAATCTGAGAGCAAAATAGAGATTACACTACGTATTAGGCTCTCCTACTAGCCTGAATGGTGGGCAAGTATTAACAATGGTCCTGACATTAAAGGTAATTAAGGCTTACTAGCCTTCTTGTTTAAACTTAATTTAAATAAAAGTTTCAAATCCTACTTAAATGGGAACCTTAGTTTACCTTCATGTCCTGAATGTTTAACTGTGGTGAAAATGGAAAAAAGAAAATATAACTTGTAAATTACTCCCTTAACTGTAGTTAACAGAATGTCAACATCAGATCTATAAAATAGTCTGCTTGATAAACACTTATGGCTTTAATATTAAAAAAAAAAGCCAAAGAAATCTAAATTACTACACTTGTATGTGAAATGTGAAGACCAATCAGACTGATGTTTTAAGTTGCCACACAGAGAGATCTAGTTTTCATAAGCCTTTTCACACATAGTTCTCTTTGTGAGTAGCATCTCTTCACTACAATCATGCATACAAGGTGGTATCTGGCAAGTCAGCTGAGACTCTGGCTGCTACAGAAGCTGAAAACTCAACATTAGACTCTTGTTTGTACAACCTGCTCTTTCTCAGATCAAGTAGATCCCCCAGAAATTCTTAATGGTAAAAGACAATCATGTCTTGTATTCTAATTCAACTTATCCACATATATAATTCTTGCATCAAAAATGTCATAATGTGGCACCGAGATGCTTTGCTACACAAATGTAATGCAGAAGGACATTCAAGAAGAGGCATACAAAAACGTTTTTTCCCTTTTGTGCAAGTTATGGGCTGTGTAGCTCTCTGGGCAATGAGGGGGCAATGAGGCCTTCTAGAGTTTTATCTTTAAGGCTTTATAAGCACCAGCAATATGTGCTACATATTTTCAATATCCAGCAAACACCAGAAATTTAACTTTAAACGCATAATTATACAGCTAGAAAATTATAGCCCCACCTAGGTAAGACACGTCATTAGAACTCCAGAAAAAGTAAAGGTAGGCACAAAGAGTTCATGAAATCAGGAATAAGAGTTACTTCCTTCTTTCTAAATACATTTCTTAGACAAAGGCTATACACAATATATTTAATATATTTAACTGTTTCCCCTCAGTGAAGCTCCTGTATAGTTCTACATTTTTAAAAAAACTGCTTAAGTGGTATGATCTAAGGATTTAGAAGAGTGGAAATGCAGACAGTAAGAATTCATGAAATAGCAAGACAGAAAAAAATATAAAACATACTGGATTACTATACAAGACCTATTTATCGGGGGGGGTATTAGGGACACTTCAGTGCAAAAACAAGCACTCAGTGCTGTACAATTATTAATATCTTGGAGAATCAATCCCACACATGCTAGTAAGATAATGACACAGCTGAACTACAATGGAATATCATGTACTGTATATATTTAATATGGCTGATCCATTGTCATTGTCATATCACCGCAGGCTCCATCAGATCTCCTAAAGGCAGAGATAACATTGATGTTTAAGAAGTGCCTTCCAAATTGCAACAGCCAAGTCTTGGTCCCTAAATTTTAATCTAAACACTTGTGCTGCTTTTAGCCTTAGTTGCTTTTGTGCTGCTCTCTAGCATACCAACACAGAAAAGTGCCATGGCATTTTTTTTTAAAAAGCTTTGTGTTTTTACTGAATCGTCTGATAAGGACCAAATGTACCTTTCATCTTCATTCAAAAAGAAAATGTGAGTTGGATTTTGTTTGTTTTTGATCCAATTGAATTAGATTTCTTCCCACAGAAGGTAGCCCCGTTTTGAGCTTATAATCTGAACAAATCATTCTGTGTTTTTCAAAGGTCATGCTTGCTTGTTGTAATGGTATATGTAATACAAAATAATAGTGTGGTACATTATGTAGAGACTGAAAAGACAGAGGTTCATGTGGACAATCTATAATAGTATCCATGATATCTAATGACAAAAGCAAAGTTCAATGTGTGGAATGAACAATGTGTAAACGTTTTGACTATCAAGTTTGTTATGCTAGGAGTTCTCTACTTGAAATGTTCCAAAGGCACTAAAGAGCTTTAAGCTTCCAAGTTTCAGAAGCATGAAGCTTTGAAATAAATAATGTTATGAATTAAAACCTTACTACCAATTTCTCACTGTAGCAACTTGCTTTGATTAGCCAAAGATATGAAGAGAGGAAAGGAGAGAGGGGATGAGGAGAGAATCCTTCCCTTTAGTTACTAAAGAATCAACAAGGACAAGCCTCCTTACAGCATTATTTATGATGTGCTACTATTGTTATTACTGGTGATCTGCTTTATCTGGTAACATAAATACTACATAAAATGATTTTTTTTTCAAGAGATCACACATACACACCCATGTTCTGACAATGCTTATAGAAAGAATAATGTTCCACAAATCCAAAATTAAGAAAGAAAAAAATCTTAATACATTATGTCCACTATTCCAGTACCAACAATAAAGTGCAGCAGCTTTTGAAGCTATTGCTGGATTGAAAATATGCTACGCAAAATGCTTTTGAACAAAGTATAGAATACTAGAGTGACCATTAAGGCAATACAGGTGGTTCCCTCTTTTAGATAAGTTACTGAGAATTGGACCATACAAGTTATTGCTGTTTCCTATACTAAGTTGTAGCCCTTAGAGCAGTGTTGTAATTTTACACAACACCTTTAAGGCAGAACACAGAGGGAAAACAAACGTATGCTATGCATTGTGAAATTAGTACAAAAAAAGTAGCTCTCTCCTCCTTTTGATGAAGTAACAGTCTTAAGATTTTCAACTGAAGCCAGAATCCATAATAAAATCCATAAATGCAGACAAGCAGAGCTTATGTAAATCTTCTATAGATGAATCCATTGTAATGTAAACAGAGTGTATAAAATATTATCCTGCATCACTTTCAAGATTTCACAGCCTTCAGGTAAAGCTTTTAAACAGCAGTAGGAAAAAACTGAGTCACTAAACAAGAACGACAGCCCAGAAATAGGTCCAGCATGAGTCACTATTTTCCTGCTTTCATATAGGATGGTATTGCCCCTCGCGCTGTCAGGCCTTCAAAACGTTTGTAGGTGTAATTGATAAAGACCCAATCTTTATTCTTGTAGTCTGACTCTGGATGGTTACTTGTGGTGACTGTTAAAAAACAACATATAAAAAATCAGATGAAGGATCAACATATAATTTTTTGCTGACACTATTCAAGAACTGCCAGGTAAAATAGAAAAAAACCCTAAGTCCAATTATATCAGGCTAGTCCAACCCGCGGCCCGCGGGCGGCCCAGGTTGGCTCGTAATGCGGCCCAGTGCAATTTTTTATTTTTTAAGATGCTGGGAGTTGCAGTTCCCGGCAAGGGGAGGCAGCCAGCAACCATTTCCAAGCCAGAGCCTCCCTGGCAGATCCACTCCGCCCCTCCCCACCCCAGGGGGCCGGAGCGCAAGGCCTGATGTAATTTCTGAGGCACACCGCCATAGGCTGGGCCGCCAACAAGGCCAAGGAAAAGAAATTCCAGCTGGGCTTTAAATCGTGCGACGGCTGAGCGGCTGCTGCTCTCCAGGTGCCCCGTGAGGTTCCAGGTGTGCGTGCTACTTCTGCGCCCCGCCACCCGCTGGCCCACGGAGCCCGTGCACCAAGGGCACCACCAGGTAAGTGGAGGAACACCTTTTCCCTCTACCTACTCTCTCTCTCTCTCTGTTTTGATCTTGTCAACCGGTGCGATCCAAGTACAGTAGTTGTTCGGGTCTTGGAGGCGAGTCTGGCCCCCACCCCTGGCCCTGACTCGCTTCCCTCCCACCGCACGTGGGAATCTGCCCGACACGTGGAGCTCCCGTCGGCGCCAGGCAATCGCAGCGAGCTCGTGGTTTGGGGACGAGGGGGGTTGCCTGGAGGGGGGGAAGCATCCTCACAAAGGTTGGGGCCGCTTTTCCTAGTGTGTGTGTAAGTGTGTTGGGTGTGCGGGGGAAGAGGCGGGATGGATGTTCCGTGCGAAGGCCGGCCGGGCTGGGCTTGCCAGGGTGCACCCGGAGATCCCTCTTGGGGGAAGGGGTGCACGGCCGCCTCCCCCCGGCTTTATGGTGGGAAAGGATGCCTTTTTGGAGGTGGAAAACCACTTCGGGGGGAAGGAAGCAAGAAGCGGGTGGGGCGGAGTGGGAAAACGGGGAGATGAGAGAGGCTCTTAGAAGGAGGTACCCCCCCAAACCAACTGGGAGAGGATGGGTTGGTTTGGGGATGCGCGCCCATTGGGAAACCGTGGCCTCGACCCAGGAGGGACGCTCTCGAAAAAGCACCGTTTGGAGGGAGGGGGACCCTTTGGTGAGGAAGGAGGCGTTGGAGAGCACCCCCCCAAAGGTTGAGGAAACCTCCCCCCCTTACCAAGATCATCATCCTTGGTTTGGTTGAGTTGCTGTTGGTGTGATCCTGAAGCAGAGGCTGAGAAAGTTGATGCAGTGGGATTACAACTCCCAAGTTCCCCAGCAGCTGCTGCAGGGGTCTGTGTGCGTGTGTGAGTGTTTCTGGGCATTGTCGTCCCTCCCCAGTTCTTTTTTCCATCCCAGAAATAAGTAAGTTTCTTTAATTATTTATTTACTGCGCTCCCAATGCAGTAAGCCTTCCTACCCTGGGTGGTTTGCGATAAATACAGCACAAAGCCGAACCTGACAATATAAACACTCTGAACAGTAGCAAGTAAGTTTAATATGTTAACTATGTTTTCTATGGGGTTTTTTTGATGATCAGGTATCATTACTGTTATTTTATTTTATGTGCGGCCCAAACCAAATTTTCATCTTCTAATGTGGCCCAGGGAAGGTGAAAGGTTGGACACCCCTGAATTATATACTCCTATGTAGCTCCAACATGCATTGTTACGATGTGCATAGACTGACACAGGAGAACTGATGTTATCTCTATGACATTACAGACCATGAATAGCATATAAACATGTAGTTGAGATTTGCTTCTCCAGTAGCTTCTTCATAAAAACATTGTAAAAACATCTTTAACTACATTGTAGAGGGTTTATTTTACCCCAAAGCAAATCCTCTGTCACTTCCAAAACTGTTTCAACTTGCACTATCTTACCTAAACACACACTGAAAAATTGGCAATCAACAAAAGGGAAATTGTTTCACCAAGTCAAAAGAAGAAGAAAAGTTTGACATCTGAGCATGATGCACTGTGGCTACAATTAAACTAAGTTGATTTCGCTCACATTTACTGGGTGGGATCCAGAGAAAGGTACACTTACTAGAAGCTTAGGTCTCTACTCCCATCTCCCCAAGCGTCACACCTTCACCATGCAAAAATGGTCCCATCAATGTTAAGGGAACCATGATGGATTGACTAGACCATGGTGTGGGAGAAGGGGAGGCAGAAGATGGTCCTCAAAACTCAGATGATGGCAGTTCTCACAAACAGGAAATCAGTTTCCAGCAGCTCACAGCCACCATGCTGTTCTCTGAATCCAATCCATCAACGTATATTAATTTGAAAGCATACTGAACTATTTTAGATTTTTGACTTGTAGCTCTGAAGTAGAGGGAGAATTATTGAAATGTGAAATCCAAGATGTCACTCCTTAACAGGTTCTATACCAAAATCAGATTTTTTTAAAAGACTAAAAAAAGGAAACATTTACCTGCTGGTTTAAGAATATCAGATTCTGGAAATTCATCAAAGTTGGATGTGTCATCAATACTTTTTATTTCTATGGATATTGCAGCTGGTCTCTCCCTGGGTGAAAAATAAATAAATCAGTCTTGATTGGACTTAAAGGGAAAGAAATCATAAATTCAATCTCAAATCAAGGTTATGTCTGTTTCTGATCCTCCAATTTCACAAACCCTCACTGTCTGATCTTCTTTCTCATGTACTAAACTGTTGGAATGGAAATAAAATAATACTACCAGAGAAGAAAAGGATGTTGTACCTGATATGCTCCCAATCAACTCCTTCAAAAAAGGGGTTTGTTTTAATCTCTTCAACACCTGAAGCACCAATTCGGTGTTCCCATTCACAGCAAAATCTGTTGAGAAAGAAAGTGAGCACAAAGGGTTCAAACATAGGAAAGTAATACAGTAAATTACTCAGTGGGGAAAGGAACTCCTGGCAGTCTACAATTCAAAAGAAGTGGAACTGTTCCTACAGCAAGCCTCCAGTGCTCTAAAAAAAGATCCAGCCATCAGTGCTGATGTTGTTACTAGATATATCGTCCAGCTGTTGTGTCACATATTATATTCAACGAAATTCCAGCTGAACCAGAATTAGGGATAGGATCTCATAGTATCTCAGAAGACTGAAAGACCATAGAAATTGTTACCTCTATTATCTACCGATGTTTTCAGCATGAAAGATCATATGTCCTCTAACTCCTCCACATCTTACAGAAAAGTAATGGAACATACGTACCTAGAATCTTTGTACCAGACTTCCAGGTATGTCAAATAATGCTGTTTTTTCCATGCACTTCCAGGAAGTACAACATAAAGTAACCCCCACCCAATTGTCTCCAACAAGTTTCCATTTGCTTGAGTCTGTATCGATGCTATGCAAAGCTTAATGGAAGGAAGAATGGCTTTCCTCTGCTTAGCCCTCAGCAAAACACTGAAAACATTGAGGGAAGGATCTCAATTCATGCAGCTGGTCATGAAGCAGGAGGAAGAACAAGTGAAATTCCAGGGCCTCCAACATGTCTGGAGCCCACTGTAAGAACTCAGCCCTCCTGGATTAGACCAAAGGCCTATCTAGTACTCCATTCTCACAACAGCTAATCAGAAGCCATAAACAAAAGGTAAGTTCAACAGCACCATGTCTGTTGACACAAAGAGGTGTATTGCTTCTGATGCTAGAGATGATTTCATACACTATAAAATAAATGCAATAAATACAATAAAATAAAATAAACTCTGTTGTTAGCTAAAACTACCTTTAAATAAAAATACACACACAGGTTTTAATTTGAACATCTCAAGACAATATTCACACTAGCAGAAGGCAGTTTATTAATTAGCATCTTAAAAACTGAGAGGGATGGTGCCTAGCAAACCTCTGTACGAAGGTTGTTCCAGAGGGAAGGGATTACGACTGTGAAAGCTCTGTTCCTAGAGTTGACTTTTTTTGACCTCCTTGGGTATTACTATTTTTAACAACAAGGACTGCAAGGATTGTGTGGGACAGGTAGCTATTTGGTAGGAGAGAGGCGTTCTGCCAAATATAAATAATAGATATAATATATGGCCATTGTTACTAGCAGCCATTTAGTACTTATCCTCTGTGAATTTGTATATAAAATGGCAATGGTGGTCTGGTTGACTGAAGAGTTAGAGTAGACCATGGGCTCAAATTAAATATATAGGAAAAGAATAGAAACAACTATAGGTTGCTTTGTTATACCATTTAAAGGTAACATGAGCATTCATTCCAAATGACAGTGTGCTATTTGGTCATTTGTTAAAATATAGAAGTCATAAAATATTTTAAAAGTTCATATAATGCACTGCATGCATTCAAGAGAAACTTAGACAATCATTTGCAGATTTCCTTTGATTTGTATTCCTGCATCGAACAGGGGGTTGGACTTGATGGCCTTATAGGCCCCTTCCAACTTCACTATTCTATGATTTTATGATAATGACAGACTCAACTATTGCAGATGGAATGCTAAAAGGTTTTGAAGCCTGCATTATGAAAACACAAAGAGGTCAATTACCTCATGCTCTAAGACGTACAGTACTGACAGATATAATTACTGAACTTGTACCTTAGAATAAGATCTTTGGCTCTCTCAGAGATTGGAACTTCAGGAGGGAATATAAGGGTCTCTTTCCAATTCATCACTTTCTTGTATGTTTCTTGAGGAGTCTCTGAACAGAAAGGTGGGTAACCTGAGAAATAAGTTACAGAAGTCATGAACAGTGACTAATGAAAGTTATATCTAGCTTCCAACTCTCATTGTCTTAAACTATGATCTTGGTTCAAGACCACCGCTGCACATTCCCAATGAGATGCAGCAGATAGAGTGATGTACTAGGAGTCTAGAGAACAGGGTTCAAATTGCTGCTTGGCCATGGAAACTCACTGGAGGAGTGGAACTGGTAAAACCACTTTCTGAGAGCCCTATTAGGGTTGCTGTAAGTCAGTTCCAACCTGACGACACAGAACACACATACACACAGGTTCAAGAAGACACAGAAAGAGGAAAAAACATAAGCTTATTAAGTTTGAAAATGTAAAAATTAAAATATTATTCCCTACCAATCAGCATTTCATACATGATGACCCCAAGTGACCACCAGTCACAAAGTTTGTTGTAGCCTGTCTGCATGAAGACCTCTGGAGCAATATAATCTGGAGTTCCCACAGTAGAGAAGGCCTGAAATCGAATAATATGCCATTTTTTACAAAATATTTTATCTGTGAACAAACAACCCGACAATACAGAAAAATCTCTTCCCTCCTTAGCTTCAGATAACAACTCAAAATGTGGTTGTCCATGCAGGCCTTTCAGAGCTTTACCTCAGTCTAACTTGGTTTCAGATCACCTATGCTCCGTAAATTTTGGAATAACTGTCACTATTTTGCCACCATCTTATTTTGTTTCTAAAGATTTGGTTTTGTGTGATGTTTTATTAGTTTATTACTGTAGCTTTATTACATATTTACGTTATGTTATTGTAAGGTGCCCAGAGTAGTGGCCTGACAACTAGATGGATGGAGAAAAGTTTAAAGAAAAAAAAATATGCTATCTAGTGGAATTTTATGCACCAAATTACAGAACACATTTCACATTAAGTACATAAGAAGAGCCCTGTTGGATCAGGCCAAGGGCCCATCTATTCCAGCTTCCTGTATCTCACAGTGGCCCCATCAGATGCCTCTGGGAGCACACGAGACAACTAGATACCTGTCTCCTGATGCCCCTCCCCTGCATCTGGCATTTTCAGGTAATATCCTTTTAAGCCTGGAGATTATGTATCCCCATCATGGCTGTGACTTTTCCTCCAGAAATCTGTCCAATACCCTTTTAAAGGCATCTAGGCCAGATTCGATCACCACATCCTGTGGCAAGGAGTTCCACAAACTAACAACACACTGGGTAAAGAAATATTTTCTTTTGTCTGCTCTCATTCTTAATTATCATGTTTTGGTTCTCAGATTTTCAACTACTCCCTGAAAATAAGTCTCCATGTCTTCAACACTTGTAGAAATGTCATAGCTCTAACAATTAAGAGTGACAGAATGCAAGAATAAACTCATGTTTTATTTACACTATTTTCCCCATCACTGCTTCCTAACATAATCAGACAGCAGCTATCTGAAGCAAAACTGTACAGCATGCTAGCTACAATACTTTTAAAAGAGAGCCTAAAACTAAATGTTAAGAAAAGTTAAGAATAAAATTATTTTCTGCAATTATACAAGTGCCTGGTGATACACTTATTTTAAAAATAGATGAGAAATGAAGTATAAAGTTGAGTTATGGTACTCAAATAGTATCAGCACTAGCATTTCCCCACACAATACTACAATGGCTACTCACCTACACCCTCCCTGCAACATGCACAACGAAGAAGTACATGAAATAACACAAGGGACTCTTCTGTGTTTGCTCTATGCACCAAGGCACACAGCAGGCTCACTTTCCACATATTTGTCCAGCCTCTTGATGGCACAGTGCCCTTTCATGCAAAAGAGAGCCTGAATGGACCAGGATCCCTTTCCACAGAAGAGGTGTACACATGTAAAGTTACTTGATGTCATGCAGGCAGGCACATGGCTTCAGAGATTGCTAGCAATGGGTGTAGGGTTGCTTCACATGGCCCTGTGTCCCTCTCATATGCTTTTTTAACTGCAGAGCATTCATTTGAATTTTCCTAACAGCAGAGGAAAGAACAGACACCTGCAATTGCTGTTGTTACTGTTCTTTCAGAGTCAAGTTAGTTGGGCCGTGAAAGCCTTCGCGAATACAGTACACGGACTCTGCTACAAGGCTGCAGTCAAGTAAAAGACAGGACTCTAGAACTTTCTATCATCCCTACATTCAGGCTAAGTACCCGTGTGTGTTTTCCTATCCTCTTCCATCACCTTTTGTATTCTACCTTTATCTCAAGAGTCTATAAGCAGGAATTGCTTTTTATCAATCTATCCAATATAAGCTGCACTGAGAAGCTTTCTGGCTGAAGAGAAGGGCAAACATGCTGTCAATAGAAACATGTACGATAATTCTTTGGTATATCAGTACTTACCAGCTGACGTCTGTTTCGTTTCCAAGTTTCTGCTTTCCTTTTAGAGTTCATATTCTGAAAAGCTGAAAATAAATTCAAAGCACAGATATTGCAGATTTCTTTCATTTTCAGTTACTTTGGTTTACTGTTGTCTTGAAGTAATTCAACATTTTTCAAACCAGTGAATTGAAAACTGGTTATTTCCTATGGCCTCCATTGTCCTCTCTGTCCCCAACCACCCCATAACCAGAAAGAAAGAGAAGGACACTACTTTTTTTAAAAGATTGGCGTGCGTCCAGGATAAAATGCATACATTTCATAAACCGCTCCATATTTAAATTTGCTTTTCCCCTCTTTTCCTTTCTTTTTCCTTCTTTGTTTTTCTTTCTTGTAGCAATCAGTTTTCTGTAGGCATTTCATTGTCTGCAATTTTGGGCAAAAATAATATTTCTGACTAGTACTATTGCCCTTGCAGTCTATATTTTGCAATATTCTGTATGGCTAGAATAACTGACTGAAGAAGTAAAATAAAATAGTTAAATTCAGTTTTACTCAAAACAAACAGAATATACCAAGAATACCTGGTGCAAGGCATCTGAATCAGGAACCCAAGAAATGCAATGGAATACAAATCAATTGCCCCTATGGCTACGTCTCAAAAAGAACCTATCAAGCTCCTACGTATCTAGATACTCCTCTCTCTTTTATTGTATTTATTATTGTGGTCTTTCTGCCCGCCTACTAATTCATTACTGGGAATACATATACAGTACGAGTTTCTATTCCCTATAATGACCTCTCTCTTTTATTGTATTTATTATTGTGGACTTTCTGCCCACTTACTAATTCATTACTGGGAATACATATATGAGTTTCTATTCCCTATAATGACAAGATCATTCATAGAGCATGTATGGGTCATACTGTATTTAACAAAATTATGAATGACTCCACTAATAGCACAAACACTGACATTCCATCTCACTGAGAAACAATATTTTGCACAGTATGCCCCCTGCCTTCTGTACATTCTGCATACTTTTAGCCAGAAATTCCTCTTCACTCAGGAGAACATCTGTGTAAATAAGTGTGCATAGGACTGTAGTTTTAGACTTCAACAAACAATCTGTCTTAATATCCTTATAAGCAGGAGTGTCTTATCTACAGATATAATTCGGCAGTACCTTTTTACTACATGACTAAAGATCTCAGAAAAGCTCTGTTTTAACTGCAAACCAATGGCTGAAATCTTGTTGAGCAACTTTACACTGCATAATGCTTCTGTTATCATCAGCTGTGGCAGCGATTTTTAGAAATAAAAGACTCCCCCCATGTCCCACAGAACCCAAGGGAGCCTCAGAACCTATTATTCAGAACTTATCTCTTCCACCGTAAGTCAAGCAATTTTGAAAAAAAGGTAATCAGGGATTACTACAAACAAGAGCAAAACATTCCTTTCCTATTTGCATTGTATGAATAATGAAAGAGACAAAAATACAAGTGGAAGCAGAAAGAGAAGGCAAATTTAAAAGAACTAGTCTCTTTTTTTAAGACACCATCTCACAGGTAATGATACTGTTTCCCTGAAAATAAGACCTACCCTGAAAATAAGCTCTAGTATGATTTTCAGGATGCTTGTAATATAAGCCCTAGCCCAAAAATAAGTCCCAGATAAGTGAAACTCCACCCTCCGTCATTGTGCCGCATTGTGCAGCAACCAGAAAAAGATGACATGACTGTAAAATAAAACATCCCCTGAAAATAGACCCTAATGCGCTTTTTGGAGCAAAAATTAATATAAGACCCTGTCTTATTTTCGGAGAAACACAGTATATAGTAAGCAAGTATTTTCAATCAAAGCAAGTATCTTAACAAAACTGGTTCTCAATCCTGATTATCCAAGTTAATTGGAAATACTAAAATGCCAATTGATGCTACAGGAAGACAAAGGAAACAGGGTCACCTCTGCAGAGACACCAGCTCTAACAGGATCCTCTGTTCCTCAACTATATTTTTCAGGCTCAGCACAAGAAATTTGCAGTGTTCAAAACTGATGTCTCTATTTGCTTGTTTTAGTGGTTTAGGTATCTGGTAGCAGAGCCAGAAGTTGGGAGCTCAAATCTCCATTATGCTTTCTTGATAGAAGCTGGATTTGATAAACTATATTTCCAAGATGAAGATGATGATTATCATCATCATCTTCCTTTTCTATTCCTTTTTTCATTTGTGTCACATCTTTTCAGTTATAAAATTACAGGGCCAGGACCGTCTTGATTGCTACCAATCTTATATAAGTCATTTAGCTAAACAATTCAATTAAACTGCTTTGAATAAATAAAGAAAATAAACAATACATGTTCAAGTCGCAGAGGAGGAAAGAACAAGTTTGTCTTATCACACATTCTTTCAGAAACATATTTGTGAAGATTCTCAGTCATCCAGCTAAGTTTATCTGGAAGCTGAGTCACGGCAACTTTCTTATTAGGTTGAAATGTTTCGCTACTCATCCAAGTAGCTTCTTCAGTCTGAGGGGAGTTGGCAGGAGAGGATATATCAGGGATCTCCTACCAACTCTCTTCAGACTGAAGAAGCTATTTGGATGAGTAGTGAAATGTTTCAACCTAATAAGAAAGAAGTCCAGTTGCCATGACTCAACTTCCAGATATTCTTCTAGGAAGGCTCAACAGTGGACTGGAGAGAGAACAGATGATCTTCTGAAGGGATTACTCCACTGTACATAAATATTTGGGAATTAATAGAAGTGAGGAGTTTATCATGTTTTGTGAAGACAACAAATTGCCCAAAGCATGTTATATACTGATATAACACTACTTACTGAAGTCACTTGGAAGATTGTGGCTCAAATTTCTATAGAATTCTGTTCTGTGTGCTTTCTTTAATCCAGTGCAGAGACCAAAATCTGAGAGCTTCACATGGCCCTAAACATCACAGAAAAAAAACCAAAACCAAAAAAACCAAATAGGAAATAGAACACAAAAGCATGCTCAGATTACATGGGTATAACCTACATTCATAGTAGGAGAAAAAGCATAACATTTGATATTAATCCTTATGACAGCATCAATAAAGAGCTGCATATTTATATGATGATCTAAAGGGAAACTGTGTATCAAGAGTGTGTCACTGATTTTTTTTAACTTGTGAACTCCCAGAATTATCCAAGAACTCCCCACACAGAATTCTGAGAGACACACACCTACATTTCACTTACTTGGACCGAGACTGTACCCAAGGTCTTGCTTCCTGCTCAAAAAGGAAACCACTCTGTGCTTTCTGGGATTTTGTGGGGAGCAAAATTCTATAGAAGTTTTCTATAGAACCTAATGGCAGTGAGACTACACTTCCGACAAAGACCTAGGCCTCCCAGGAAGCACTGGGGCAGTTTCCTTTTTGAAATGGATGCAACACCTGAGTCAGGAAGAAAGGTCTTAGGTAGGCCTAGGTCCAGGCGAGTGAAAGCTTTACGGATACCCTTGACTGCCTGAAAGACAAACAAGGGAATCCTAGATCAAATCAAGTCTGAGCTGGTGTGGGCTGGAACTGCATCTGCCTGTGTTTTCTGTGGGCTGGAATTCTCAGAATTCTTCCTGGGGAGTTTTTAGAGAATTCTGAGAGAAGTAATCAAATACTGGTTTTCTGCAGAGAATCATGAATGTAAAAATTGAGAAACTGAAAAAATAAACTCTTAGCTGTCAGTTATGAGGCACATAAAGTCAGTTATGAGGCACATAATGTAGGAACAAACATCAAAAGAGTGTTATACTATACCAATGAGAAGAAAACTTGACATCACATGGAGGATATGAATTTATTTAGGTATTCTTAATCAATTTTACAGAAATATCTAAATAAATCCATACCCTACATGTGACATCAAGTTTATGCATTTCTAACCGATTTTATGGATTCATAGTGTGATGTGGTGAATAAAGGGACGGACTAGGACTCTAGGGAACAGGGTTCAAATCCCCATTCAGCCATGGAAATTCACTGGGAAAGCGAAACTGGTAAAACCACTCCTTAAATATCTCACTTAACTTGAACGCCCTATTTGATTCCTTGTAAATTGCTTCTGACTTGACAACCACAACACACATACAAAATCCATTTTATACTAGAAGATCTCAGGGAGGGGTACAATTAATAATGGGCTGGGCATTCCACAACCAGAGTGCTACAGATGAGAAAACCCTGAATGTAGTTATTTATTTAATGTTTAGTAGGCATCAGAATAATACATTTAATTCAAAACAAATGTAACTGAATTGTCATTGAATTTTTCAACGCCTGAAACTTTGGTGTATATATTTAAAAATGCCCAGAATATCAACCTAGTCTGGAAATCTGGACATTCTTGTTCTGAGGATGGGAAAGGAAAAGCTACTGCTCTTGTCTGCTCATCCATTACTTCTGACATATTGTTATGAAACAGTATTTTAAAGTAGCAAGTTTTATGGATCAGAACAATTTTAGATAATTATAGATTCACTTCATCCAGCTATTTAAAATACGCTTTTGTATTTCAAGCCATTAAGACAGTGTTTCCCAAACTGTGCACTGTGGTGCCATGGGGCGCTGGGAAATCTATCCAGGGGCTCTGTTGTAGCCCTCCCTTCTCCCCTCTCACCCAAAGTATTGTACAGCACTTATTGTACTTGCAGTTTTTCTGGTGTCTGTGCGTGGTGGAGAGAGGAAATCCTGACCCAGGACTGGGTTTCCTGCCCTCCAGTTTGCAAGGGAGCCTTTCATGTCTGCCCCTACCCATCCCCCCCCAAAAATGCAGCTTCTCCATTTTTCCAGAAGCTGCTTCTCTGCAAGAGGTCAGGCCACAACGGCGTTTCCTTTAAGTCAGGTGTCCCCAGCTCCCGGTCCGTGGCCCGGTGCCAGTCCGTGGGCTTCCTAGCACTGGGCCACAGAGACAGATCTCTGCCCCCTCGCGAGTGCAACACACTCACCCGTGAGTGCGAGACGCCCACCTGCAAGTGTGCGTGAGCTCCTGCCCCCTGTGCATGGCGCTCCCCCACTGGTCCATGGTTCCAAAAAGGTTGGGGACCACTGCTTTAAGTCACTTGTATATAGCATAGCCTCCGGTTGCATCTAGTGGCCAGTCCTGGTAACAAAGGGAAGGTTATTCTTATTCTTATTATTATTATCATCATCATCATCATCTTATTTAATTTTTTCCCAAGCAGTGGAAAAGTGAAATTGCAGGTACTGATCCTCTGGATACAGCAGTCCTACTGTACTGGGGAGCCACAGCCAGTGGGCAGTAAGCAAAGGGAGCTGTGAATCAAAAAAGTTTGGGAACTACTGCTTTACGACTTTCCAAACTAAATACAACACTGCTATGACACAAAACAACCTACTTCATCTCAGACAGAGAATACCATAAAGTGCATACCTTACTGTCCAAAAGAAGATTATCTGGCTTGATATCACGGTGAATAAAACCCAGTTGATGGATTGAATCTATAGCTAACACAGTTTCTGCTATATAAAACTGGGTCTCTTCTTCTGTCAGAGTATCCTTTTTCATTAATAAAGTCATCATATCACCTGTATGTACAGAAACAGTAAGTTGCATTTAGCTCCTTTCTGTAGTTTTTAGCTAAGACTAAATTCAAAAATACATGGTGTGTTCTGTTCAGAAGCTGGCTGGATAGCTAAGTGGTTTAGCTATCCAGCTGTGGAGCTATAGGTTGGGAGTTTGATTCCCCACTGTGCCTCCTATGAGTACAGCCAGCCTGTGTATCTTTAGGTAAGTTGTGATGATTATATTATTATTGTGTTGTTGTTAAAAAAACACCAGGCACAGTCAATCAAAACTATAAAAACATTGAATGGTATTATATAACAGATAGAAGTTTTAACCAAAACCTAAGTATCTGTTAAATGTTGGTGCAGTATGCATGCTGTTCCTAATATTGTCATTTTTTGTAGTTCTGATGGTGTTATTTCTGAGATCTGCAACTGCTTATAATACTACGTGAAATTTCTTGATATTGTTCCCAAAACTCTGATAACTACAGGGACCACTGAAATATGTTTCTTCCAGAGGCAAGATGTTTCAATTGCCATGATCTCTGTACTTTGTTAGTTTTTCCTATTCTTTATTTTCAACTTTGGCATCCCCTGGAAGTCCAATGTCAATGATCCGGATATTTCTTCCTTCTATTACTACTATGTCTGATGTGTTAAGTTCAAAGTGTCTCTCAATTTGGATCCAGAAATCCCACAAGATCTTGACTTCCTCATTTTATTACACCTTCTCTACCTGATATTCTCACAGGTTTATGGAGGCCAGCAGGTTATATTTTTTGCATAATGACCAGTGCATTAACTTTGCTACTCTATCATCTCTAACCTTGTAATCTGTCTGTGCAATCTTTGGACATTCAAAGATGAGGTGAGGCACAGTTTCATCTTTTTCTTGGGAGAGTTGACATTTGCTGTTAGCACTAATTCCTTGGATCTTAGCTTTTACCACATTGGTTTGGAGTGCTTGTTCTTACGTAGCAAAAATCTAGCCTTCAGTTTCTTAAGGCTCCCTAGTTTTAGTCATGCCCATATTAAATTATGATAATACTTTCAATCAATATTTCTCAGGTGTTGTCCATGTAGTGGTTTATTTTTCCAGCTGTTTAATTTATTTTCAAATTGTTATTTCTTATATTGAGCCTTTGTTTCTGTTGTTTTCAAAATATTCTCCATGTTCACTGCTTTCAGTAATTTTTCTCTGCTTTTACTGATATAATTAGGCTTCCTTTTTTCTGCCTCTACTACCTCCTGTATTTGCAGTAATCCATGGCCTCTGATATTTTGTGGTAAATATAATCTGTCCACATCGCTTTATGGATGTAGTGTGTGATGCATGTTCATTAGTTTCCATGTTTTTTGATCTAATTCTTCTAATTCGTTTTGAGTCAAATCTATTATTCCAGCTGGGTATCTAATTACTGGAACGGCCCATGTGTTTATGGCTTTGTATTTCCCCCATTTAGTTTTGATTTTAAGATTTTCCACAGTCTTTTGATATATTCTCTTTCTGTCAGTTCTTTAACTTTTGTGTGCACAATGTTGTTGCTGTTGCTGTTAAGAAATGTCTCGATCGTTGACATTACAATTCCAAGGGATGCCAGAGTTGAAGAATTGGAAAAACTAACAAAGTACAGAGACCTGGCAATTGAAACATCTCGCTTGTGGATGAAACACAGTTCAGTGGTCCTTGTAGTCATTGAGGCTTTGGGAATAATATCAAGAAATTTCACAGAATATTATAAGCAGTTGCAGATCTCAGAAATAACACCATCAGAACTACAAACAATGACAATATTAGGAACAGCATGCATACTGCACCAACATTTAACAGATACTTAGGTTTTGGTTAAAACTTCTATCTGTTATATAATACCATTCAATGTTTTTATAGTTTTGATTGACTGTGCCTGGTGTTTTTTTAACAACAACACAATAATAATATAATCATCACCACCATCACATTCAGAACCTTTTAAAAGCACATTTGGTACCCAATAAAATCAAGGAAAAAAGACAATACAAATAAGAATATAAGAACTCAGTTAACTACTTCCTAATAAGTTTACATAGGCAATCCACAAACTGGCACCTTCCAAATGTGTTACAACTCCCCATTCTTCCTATCCAGGAAGCCACCATATGTCCTTCCACAGCCCAGTACATATGGAATACGAAAGGCTGGGGAAGGTTAGTTTATACAAATAAGTTTATGATGTTCTTATGCCATCAATACTGGTTCTTGAAAAAATAATAGTTTTTAAAAAACCTTTGCAACTGCCACTAAGTAGATACAACCACACCATACTTATAGTAGACTACAACAGCAGGATGACTTGTCTGAACATATGTTTAATTTCACACATTCTATAAAAAAAATTTTTTTAACCAGGTGAATTTGCATTTCTAATTACAGTGGAAAAAACAGTTTTATCCAAATTTCTGTATAAGCATCTTCAACGTACTTCTACAGCTACTGCATAAGAAGAATGGAAAATAGAAGTCTTGTTATAGTTCTGAAGAAGTAGCTATTAAGCAGTAGAGCTGGCAAGACTTTTGGCCCAAATAGTCATGCTTTAGTTACATCTCCTCTCTGAAACACTACCTGACAAATGCACTGCCCTTGGCAAAAACAAACTTATATGTCACTCCCTGCCCGAGCAATGAGATTCGTATGATATAAATACGCATCTTGTATAGGTACAGCTCAGAATCTGGGCTCATAGAGTGAACCTGCAACATGGATAAATAGTATTAAATGTCAGTTTCAGAACAAAAGATGTAGCCTGTTACTTTTAAACAATTACCTCCAGGTAGAAACTCCATGATTAGGTAGAGGTTTACCTTATCCTGAAAGCTATAGAACATTTTTACAACCCACAAGCTGTCTGCCTCTACTAGGATATCACGCTCTGCTCGAATATGACCAACCTGGAAAGAAATGTATAGGCACATTTTTAAATAACAGCAACTTTGTAACAAAAGATTCATTTGTATTTATCTGCGAATAGTATTCAGACTCCTCTGGGCTTCAGAAAGCAACTAATTTTTAAAGACTAGTGATCTGAGCTGGCAAGCTCCATAAGGGCAACAACACTGCCACTGTTTAATGTTTAAAAAGCGCCAACCAACTTGCATGCAGTCCCTACGCACCACCATGGTTACCATTAAGTATAATTCAGGGTCTTGCTTCTTTACCTTAAAGCCTTCAGCAGAATAGGACAAATAACAACTGCTTCTTTTCATACAAGTCTACACATTCTGAGATTAGTGCAGCCCTCCTGTGCATTTTTATGTAGTAGCACCTAGTACCGTATATGCTGGCGTACAAGACGAGTTTTGGGGCCCCCAAAACATGCCTCCAAGTGGGGGGCCAGTCTTGTACGCCGGGTACCAGGAAGGAACCGCCGCCGCCGCCGCGAGAGTGACGCGGGGCCGCGCTGGCCGGGGAGGAAGGCAGGCGGCGAGGCAGGGAGGCGAAGGGAGGGAAGCCGCGCACTCGCACGTCCGCCCCCCCCACTTTCCCTCCTCCTCCTCCTCCGCTCTCCCTCTTCCTCCTTCTCCTGACGCCCCCGGGGAGGGAGGAAGGCAGTGAGGCAGGGAGGCGAAGGGAGGGAAGCCGCATGCTCGCGCGTCCGCCCCCTCCTACTTTCCCTCTTCCTCCTCCTCCCCCTCCTCCTGCCGCTGACCCCCCCAAGCCTCTTCCCGGCCCCGCATTTTGGGGGGTCGTCTAATACGGCCTGTCGCCTAGTACGGCGGCATATACGGTATGTAAAACTCCCTCCGTCCAGAAATTATATCACAGCCTACTCTGCCACTATTCTATTATTGTTCGTCCACTTTTCCAACAAGACTTTCATTTGTGAAGGCTTTTTTTAGTTGCTATTTTTACCGCTTATTACTAAGTTGTGAATATTCATTGACACTGTCACTGATTTTTTAATTAGTTGTTACATCTTGTTGGTTACTTTTTCATTATTATTGTGTGTTGTTTTTTTTTTTGAATGGACAGTATTACACAAATCTCAAAGTAACTAAATATCACTTGCATCCACAAGGGTAAGGAGAGTTGTTTCAACAATAAGCTGGAATAATGCCTATACAGGGAAGTAGTTTCTAAAAATTGCCATACAGCATAACCTTTACATCACCTTTGAAACAAAGAATAGCCAGTCCTGCAATTCAGTGGCTAGCTTTTATTTACACACACCTAGATTCATTCACAGGAGTCAAAAGCTGCAGTGATAAAAAAATGCAATAATCCGTGGGAAAATTCTGAACCTAGTTTGCCTTCCACAGCTCCACATACTCACTTGAATAAACACAGAAGTTTGAACTGGAAAAACATTTTTTTATGTCTGAGCTGTAACATAAGACTTACAACACAATCCTTAGCAGGGGTACTAAAATGTATCCCGCTACATTCAACAAGACTCTCACTCCCAAGTAAGTGTATATGGAACACTTATTGCACGACAAACATAAATGTTATACAGTGGTGCCTCGCACAGCGAGGTTAATCCGTTCCGGATTAACCCTCGCTGTGTGAAACATCGCTGTACGGAAGTAAAAAAGCCATTGAAACGCATTAAACTACGTTTAATGCGTTCCAATCGGCACGTTTACTTACCGTACAGCGATGCCTGCAGCCATTTTCGTGCCCTCCCCTCGCAGAACGAGGGCGCGAAAATGGCTGCGATCAGCTGTCTGGCGGGTCCAAAATGGCCGCCGGAACAGCTGATTGTCGGGTCGCAAAGCGAAAGTCGGGAAGCGAGCAGCTTACCGACCTTCGCTCTGCAATTTCCCGCCTATACGGGCACCATTTTGCGATCGCATTTGCGATCACAAAAAAGGCCTCGTAGAGCGAATTCATCGCTCTACGAGGCGCCCGTTCTGCGAGGCACCAATGTATTTAGACTAAGATGCAAAGCAGGATGAAGATTCAAAAATGTCCCAACAGCAAGCATATGTTAAAATCCAAACTGAAATTATTCACTCAATGATGATAAATAAATGAGCACCAACAACTTTATATCTTATCTCCCAGGAATTTCAATTCATCCCATAAACAGGGTTATTCTAGATTCTATATTGCAAATCCAGCACAAAATACAAATTCCACATTAGGCAAAAATAAAAAATGAGAATCTACTAGGGCCACCATTTGTAATCTATAGTTACCTGCTCCTTTTCAAGCATGTCTGCTTTGCGTAGAATTTTCATTGCATACACATGTCCCGTATCTTTCTTCTGAACAAGCCGTACCTAGAAGTTACGGGAAAACCCACTTTGTTTGAGTTAGAATTGCTGGTTATGAAAAACAGTAGGTATTAGAAAAAATAGACAACCTCCAGCCTCTATATTACTTCGGCACAGTTAGCTTCACATCCCATAGGGAGCAATTCTCTCTAACAATGGGCACTTATTATTTTTATTTCACAGATAATATGCATAACAGTGGCATCCTTCATAATTAGTTGTGACAAAATATACTCAGGATACACATCATTGATGCTGGCCTGAGATGCAGTCCAATGTATTTAGATAACGTTTAAAAGAATGCTAATTACCAGAACGCAGCAGTTCAGCCATCGGTTGTAAGCAACAAAAGTCATGTTAAACAATTCACATTGTTAGCTGATTTTTAGAGTTCACTGTCTGCTGATGTTCCTTCTCTGAATTATATACAGTGGTGTTTCAACTTACGAATGCCTGAACATACGACCATTTCGAGTTACGACCAGCTCCGGCCGCAAACTTTAGCTTCAACTTGCGGCCAGAGCTTCCAGTTACGAACACAAAAAGGCAGGGGAAAAAGGACGGGGAATTCAAATTGCTAACTGTTGGTGACAAAGAGGCTGCTTCTTTGTAGCTCTTTCGCCCCAGCAGTTACAGAGTGTGTGATCGGAGGAGGCTGCCTGGTAATGTAAGGTGCTGCTTTCTGCTTTTTAAAAACTTTTCCCCCCATTTCCGATGGGTCTTGCATGATTCCCTTGCAGGGACTTCCAGGTGGGGAATTCAAATTTGCTAACCGTTGGTCACCTTCGGGGCTTGCTCTGTTGTTTATTTTTGGGTTTGTTTTTTAAAGCCCCAGCGCCTTTGGGGCTTGCGGCGTTGTTTATTTATGGTATTGTTTTTTTTAAGCCCCAGCGCGTTCCTATGGGGCTTGCAGTGTTTTATTTTTATTTTATTGGGTTTTTTCTTCTTCTGGAATGGATTAATCGCATTCCAATGCATTTCAATGGGAAATAGTGCTTCGATTTACGACCATTTCGAGTTACGTCCATCTTCCGGAACGGATTATGGTCGTAAGTTGAGGCACCACTGTAAATGATTAGCTTTTATTGGGTACAGAAATTATCAAAATGTGTTTAGAGCTCATCCTAAAACTGAACTTCATTTCATAAAACATGCACTATAGCCTAAAAGTATATCTTGCTGGCACCAGACTGCTAACTTGATGGAATTTTCTTTCCTGATTCCTTTCTACCGTGTTTCCCAAAAATAAAACGGGGTCTTATATTAATTTTTGCTCCAAAAATGCATTAGGACTTATTTTCAGGGGATTTTTTTTCCATGTATAAAAATCTACATTTATTCAAATACAGTCATGTCATCTTCTGCTTGCTGCACAATGTTGCACAATGGTGGAGGGTGGGGTTTCACTTAACTGGGGCTTATTTTGGAGGTAGGCTTATATTACGAGCATCCTGAAAAAATCAAACTAGGGCTTATTTTCAGATTAGGTCTTATTTTGGGGGAAACAGGGTATTCTGCCAAAAACTGTCTCTGAAAGATTTCCATTCTTCTCTGGAAGGTTGGCAATGCACAGAGGACTCCAACAGGGAGGGAGGATCTCACATCTTCAATCTGCTGATGTAAGAACACTCAGTAGATCCACTCTTTTTGATACTGGTCAACATCAACATATCAAGTTATTAATTTTCACCAGTAACATTAAAACTAAATTATGGAGCAACTAGAAGGGTATTTGTCCCACTGTTTGCGCCATGTTTCCCATTGTTCCTTTCAACATTTGTTCTTAGTGCTAATTCTGAGTAGGTCCGACCTTTTGGCATGAATATGTGATATATTTTGTTTAGCTCTCCGGGCTTGGGAGAATTTTCAATCAAATTACTTGGTCTTGTTTTCGCCATGTGTGTCACCTATATTCATCCTCTAGGGCAGGGGTCCCCAACCTTTTTCACCCCACGGACCGGTTGAGGAAGGCAGGGCACCCCGCGCATGCATGAACAAGTGCTCTCTCTCACACACGCGCATGAACAAGCACACACACACATACAGTGGTGCAGCACTCATGCAGGCACGCTCATGCTCGCATGCATGTGCAAACGGCGGCAAGGTGCTCACGCGTGCTTGTATACATGCACAAAAGGTGGTGCGACGCTCGTACAGGTGCGCATGCACAAATCAGCTGTGCGGGTGTGAGTGCGGGGGGGGGAGGTCTGCCTCCACAGCCTGGTCTGGCTCAGGCCATGGACTGGCACCGGGCCGCGGACCAGGGGTTTGGGACCTCTGCTCTAGGGCCATTATTGGTCTTGTCCAGATGACATCACTTATGATGCCCAGAGCCGAACATGGCACAGGAATGAACTCCACTCCTTTTTCCTGGCTTCTGGTAAGGACTAAAACAACAATAACATTTGTAAATTGTATTTATAAAAACATTTTGCTCCTGGTTTAGTACTATAGCTAGGATACAGCATTAGATCAGATGCTTACCATGTCTCGTCAATTCAGTTCTATTTCACTTGTTAAACACTTTTTTTTAAATTAAGGGATTTAAATGCCAGCCAAAGGGTTAATGGTAGGCATAGGTGAGGGACAATGGAAGGCTCTGTGATGTGTGGATACTTTAAATGCACCTTCTTGGAATAATGATGCATTTCTGTGTAAACTACAGAAGTGATTTAAATGGCAGGGTGAGATACACATAAGTTTGCATCAACACAGGATAAACGTGTGTGGCCAAATGCTACGTGGTGAAAAAATCATTTTTTTAATAGGACATGACAGTTCTCTTACTATAACTGAACATTTGAATGATGGATTCAGAACCTGGAGTTGGTAGTCTGTTGTTTTTATGGCTTTCCAAAATCAGCCTTTTTAATAGCATTACTTTGTTGGCCTCTTACCTCTCCAAATGCTCCTCTGCCTATTACTTTTAAAGACTCAAAATCTTCTAAACCAAGCCTTGTTCTTTTTAGGCGCAGAAATTCTGTTTCCTTTCGGGCATGTGCTGACCTCCTCATTCTTTTCTGTTATTTTTCAAAAATTAAAAAAATATAGTGTTTAAAAAACATTCAACAACAAAACCATAATTATTCACAGAAAATGTTCAGTGAAACAAATTTAATAGGAAGTTGCTACATACAACAATTTTTAAATATATGCAATACCTCTTCATCTTTCAAGCCTTCTTCTTCCATCACTTTTTCTAACTTCTTTTGTCTGAAAAATGGAAATATTTTTGTACATGAGGAAGCTTCTATAATATCATGTTTACCCACATTCAATTTCACCCTCTAATAAAGCTATCAAGAAAGTTAGGAAGAGAAGTTTCAGGTTCAAAGGCTTCATATTCAATAAATATACTGAGCAGAATAAACATTTTTTAAAAAATTCTCTGAAATAAGTATAACATTTTTCTATATCATGTTTTATGCCATATGCTAACTATATTAAGATAATTTGTCTTTTGTCAAACAGATCATTTACCTTTTGATTACTTGTAAACAAAGAAGAATGTGCAGGCAACATGCAGGACAGACAATTTTAGGAACCTAAATTTAGATTTGATTTAGATCTGTCACTAAACATCTTGCTGTGTTGGTTAACAAGAGGCTGTTGTGAAAAGAGGCTCCCAGAAGGCAGCTAGAAAACTACAGAAGCATGTCTAAGACCCACTTAATACAAGGTGTTATCATATCCGAGTATAGATAATGCAAAGTGGAAAGTAGACAGAACTCTAATTACACTCTGATAAACATTCTGGACACTTGCAGGGCCACATAGAAAGTTTGATAGAGCCCTACAGGGTTTCCAAGTCCTGGGGGGTGGGGGTGGAGAAGAACTCCTAGACTGTGCCAAGTCCAACATTTAAGAAATGATACATGTGAAACAATATCAGGTTGTCTAATAGTTTGAATTAAAACCAATTCCTATGGAAAGGATGAGCAGGCTCTTCACTCTCTGGCTCTATTAGCTCAATGAACCTGATATTATTGCACACTCTTTTCACTCTATATTCTTTTTAAGTACAGAGCTTTTTCAGAAAGAATGAATTTGCTGTAACTTAAGGTACATCTCAATACAACTCTGCCCTCTGTCAGTACAAAGCCTCGGCTAACAGATATTCCACAACAGAGCAGAGAGATTTAAACCCTGTCCTTGATTCTATCTCAGCTCGACAATATACTCTCCTCAGGCAAACAGTTTATATGAAATGGCAGATAAGGAAAATCACATTTCCAAAGCATTTTTCAATAGAAGAGGATAAGAAAACTAAAACTGTAATACAGTAATTTCTCTAATGATAAATGAAAAGTGTAATTTAAAAGGAGCTTTTAACTGTAAGAGGGAAAAAATGTGAAAATTATCATCATAACACAGTTGGACAAATTTCTGAAGAACATAGAAAATAATAAATTTGGTGCATCTGAATAAGGGCCTGTCAATACAATGTACCATTCTTCTAAAGCAGTACATCTCAGTAAGTCAGATTTCCAAAGAACCATACAATCTGCAGAGAAGGGAAGGGCACATTCTAGGATATACATACAGGTATCCAATATACTAGACAACTATGCTGGTCTTACTGTTATTACCGTGAACTGGCAGTATATCCAAATACGTACTACATGGCTGCACACTGCAGTATTAAACATCTTTTCCAAGAAGCTTTTAAGTACGACTATGTATTTTTTCACTGAAATCCTCCACAGATTTTCAACTATTGTCTAAACAGTCCTTTGAGAAAAGCCTGAAACTAAAAATGACTACAACTGGAAATGCAACACAGTATTGCAGTCTACCATGTACCTGCCTGCCAAAGGTGGGTGCCAACTATCCAGTGCAAAGAGAGACAAAAACCTAAACACACAGCCAATGCAGCACTTTTCCCCCAGTTGAAAAGAGGTTTATAGCACATATGCCAACTGTCTGTTCTGGCCCTTTAAATACAGAAAAGGCAAACAAGAGAGCGATATACTTTTCTGTTGATAAAGACAGCTACAAAAGAACTATCATTCTGTATCCTGTCTCATGTTGCCCTCTAAGTGCCACGGTGCTCTTTCCTACAAAAAATACTCCATATTGGTTACAACAAGCAGTGCAAGGAAGGGCCACAGAGAAAAAGAAAGGGATTGTTATTCCAATTACTGTTTCCAAGACTGTAATATTGGGTGGGGTTTACAAATTCTAAAGAATTGCATAATCATTCTCATGGAATTGCTAAGGATTTAGTGGTGTGATTCAGCAAACTGTTTCTTACAGCTAAGAATTTTACCGTTTCCCTGAGAATAAGACCTAACCTTAAGATTTTCCAGGATACTCGTAATATAAGCCCTACCCCAAAAATAAGCCCTAGTTAAGTGCAAACCTGCTCTCCACCATTGTGCAGCATTGCGCAGCAACCAGAAGATGACACGACTGTATTTGAATTGTACATTAAATTGTACATTGTTATACCTTTTAAAAAATCCCCTGAAAATAAGCCCTAATGTGTTTTTGGAGCAAAATTAATATAAGACCCTGTCTTATTTTCGGGGAAACACGGTAAGATTACCAATTTGCTCCTCCTCCTTAGTGAAGCAGCTCAGATTTTTCCTCATATTTAAATCAACACTTCCAAATCACTTCCATTATCATACACCTTGTTCACCCGAACCCAATAGCACAATTACCTAGTTGGTGGTCTTACAGTGTCTTCTTCAAAGGATAAATCTGGAAGTTTGAAAAAGTATCATTGGAACCTATGCAAAACAGCTAACACAGTGGGGTGCTCAGCCAAAACATTGGCAGGCATGGCTGGTCACATGATGGGTATGGGCAAACAAAAAGAAGTACAGTGGTGCCTCGCACAACGATTGCTTCATACAACGATGAATTCACACAGCGATGGGTTTCTTTGAGGAATTTCCCCCATCGTTTAACGATGTTCTCTATGGGGGAATTTCACTTAACGATGTCCCTTTTTCGCTCCTGTAAAAGTGTCTTACAATGTTTGGAACCTGTTTTAAATGCTTGCAATCGTTAGCCCAC